CTCCTCCACCCCTCTCACAGGGAGGAGAGGGAAAAGCGAGTGTGTAAAACAAAGGCTTGCTTGTCAGGAGTTCAGGAGCTTGGGTGCTGGCACAGCCCACGGACTTACAGAAAGAGCCTGGGAAATGCCCCTTCGTTTATCTGCACCTCGGAAAAAAAAGAAGAATTCATACAATCGCGTATTAATCACGAAAGCTCGAAGCCAGCTAGTATGACAGGACTGGAAGTCACAGAAATGTTGGTTTTGAGCAAGAGTGAAGGCAGATTAGATATCAAAAATGGATTTTAATCAGAGCAATCTCTGCCTGGAATGACTTTTCATCGTTTCAGCAGCAGCAAATGAAGCCTCGGGCTGGCAGCTGACATTGTAGCCCTGCCAAAACACTACTGCAGCAATTTGTGCCTGTCCTGCAGCTCCTTTTTAAACTCGGTGACTTCTGTTATTGAAGTTGGCCAGCGAAAACAGGTTCAAAACGTGCCAAATTCAAGTTTTAAACAAATCAAGCATGCAATAAGCTTTTTCATTACAATTGACAATGAAAATAGTATCTTTAAATTTAGGGTCTGTTTTAGAAATCATTTCTGGAACTCCCTCTGTAGGAGCTCCAACAGAGGGCTCGTTTTTTCAGCTTACCAAAGTTTTGGTTCGGTAACGCTGTGTTGGAAAACCTATTCCCACAGCATCATACCTCCTCGCGAGTCCGGATTGCTGCTGCCAGCTCTGCCTGTAGAGCTGCGATTGCTTCAGTGTTTGTCTTAATCCGGAGGGAGACGTCGTTCATGAACTGAATCTTTTCTTTCTCTTCCACAGGACTGGTCAGGAGTCTCTCAAGCATGAAATTCCTGAACTCCCCAAAGGCGTTGATGAACACTTCAGCCGGTGGCTCTCTCACCCAGGCTTTGCATTTCAGAGCCTGGCAAAGCGAAGGCCGGGCCAGCAGGAGCCTGAGGACGTTTCTAACGGAACGTTTCAGGCGTTGCTCTAGCAAGCAGAGGCAGCCCCGCTGTTCCTCAGTGCTGTCCCCTTCCTCGGAGCTGGCAAGCAGGTGCTCCATTTCAGCTGCAAGCTTTCGGTGCTCGATCAGGGCGTTTGTGATCTCAGGTCCCAGCATGTCAGCAAACCTACCCAGAGAGTCAATGATACCTGGGATCAAACTGCTCCGCTCCAGCTTGACGATCGTCTCATCCAGGACGGCGACGATTTGTTCCGTCTCCACGCTATCAGGTTTTAACCGACACGGATCTAACATCTTCATGGCGTCTGACGCGGTCGTTGCCTTCCCTGGAGCTGCCATGCCCTTCACCAGGGGCTTGTTTCTTCGCTTCACGCCCTGAGACGGTACCTGTCGCGCAGCAGGATCCGCTGCCGCCATGGCTTCGGTAGACGCTGGTGAGCGGGGTGTGCTGAGGTCAGAAGGGACACGGCACCTCCTGCCCTGGGCGAGACAGCCAGAGGACATCTCTGCTGCCTCTGTCACGCCTTCTCCTTGCTCAGATTTTACCTCTGAAAGGAAAACGTGGGGACAGCATTAGAGAAACTACGCGCTGTGGGAAGCGTGGAGGGCTCAGGTCACACCAGAGCTCCCGGGGTCTGGGCGCCCGGTCAGGACACCGACACTGCTCTGCAGCCCAGGGCGGCCGCT